GGGGGCGGGGGGGGGTGTCGGCGCGAGGTCGAACGAGCCTTTAATCGGGCTGACGGGAAACAGAACGCATTGACATGTAAATCTGTAAATTATTCCGATGTAAAATTGTCTTATAATTACATTTCAGCAATAAACGATATTTAATTAAAAATTTTAATTTGACAATAGAAAAAGGGACATTTAATGCATTTGGAATAAATTAGAGATGAGTAATTACAACGTGAGAAGTAGCTTATCGTTCTTCTTTATGTTATAAATTTTATGCGGAATATAATATAATGATGAAATATGGCAAAACTATTGGAGCGAACGCGTGTAATTTATTTCAAATGTAATTAGTTGGTCGGATGAGGTAAGAGCGAATCGGATATATTTAACAAATCTTGTGCGGCTCGAGCGAGCCTAATGGAACAATTCCAAAGACAATTTCACTCTTATGAGAACAAAGAAAGGTGCCCGTGATTGATTTAAAAAAAAGAGAGAAAGAAAAAACAAGAAGCTCTAATAGCTCGAAATATTTCATTGTAAAAATGCATCAGCCTCCTTCGCCCAACTCGTAATGCGACATTTATTTCGACTTACGAGGTGGAAATTCAAAAGCGCAGCGCGCGATACGGGAGAGGTCAGCGCGGCATAGGGTATTCCTGTTGGCGATTGCCGCGGATTCTCCAGTGACGATTTTATGGGTCTGGGAAGCATTGTTGTGCTAGAATCCGCGCGTTTGCAAAATCAACGTAGGCTAACAACAGTGTAGGTAGGGAGCTATCGCCGCCACCTCGTGTGTAGTGCCGATCGCGTGTAGTGCCGATCGTGTGAATTTCTTTCATTCTCCCCTTCACTATTTTATGCGAGATCGGTAGAGGAGTCGTGTAAAATGCCAAGTGCTCGTTTTTTTTTTTTTTTTTTTTTACGTTTTTCTGTACCTCCCCGTCCCCGCCCCCCGCCAAAACCAATGAACCGACCCGGTGACGAGCGGCGCTGCGCCAATCTCGACCGTGACATCTGTTAGCTGTGCCGGGAGGCGATCGTCGGGACTTTTGAGAAAAAGAACCGTCGGTAAAGCTGATCGCCGATTCCGCAGCTCTCGACAAACTCATCACCGCTGCCCTTTTCACAATTTGTGGGTTGAGTAGGGCGGTGGTTGGGCTGGTGGAGGTGGGTGGGGCGATGAAGTTTCAGGGAGCGGACTGGAGCGTTAATTAGCGATGTAGGATCTTGGAGTGGAGTGGCTTGCTCGGTCTGCCGGGATCGCAATCGCGTAGTCGACTTTTTTTGTTGGAAATCCTTCTCCAAGCCTAATTTCGATGCAGCGTTAAAGCGAATTTAAATATTCGGCTGAAAATCCATTTCAATTTCCATGCAAAGCTTGTTTAGCTATTCGGACAGAACTTTTCAACTGTCGGTATTCAATCTAAAATTAGTGAATATTTTAATGAAACTTTACTTTGAATCCTTCCTGTATTATTCTCGACCTATTTTAATTTCTTTGGTTAACCCTTCATATTTGTGCGTCCAATGTCATAATTCAACGTCTATTAATACAATGTCATAAAATATGAAATCTGATTAACGATGAATATTCACTATTATCCTTTCCTTCTTCTTTTTTTATTATTATTATTATTATTATTATTTATTTTTTTTTTATTTTATTTTTTTCATAAAAACTGCTGAAATTGAGTCCTGTCTCTCTATTCAGAGTATGGTATTTTATTTTAGCAATCGATAACAGTCTATGTAGATTTTTAAATCGTGATGGATTAGTGGCTCTAATTGTACTTGTAAAATACTACGCAGATATAGTCTGATAGCTGAAATCTACTAATTTAATGCAAGCATTAAAATCCACTTTTCATGTCAAATATACATATAATAATAGTATAATAATAGTATACATATAATAATAATGATCCATGTATGAATTACTTAAAACGTTTTAACCATATTTTATTCGTATTTTCAGGAAAGAGTCAAATGAGCTCTAAACTATATATTTTTAATCAAATGCTAAATTACTGCATTCTTTGGTATCGACTCGCATCGTAAATTCCATCATAAATTGGTGAAACAGAATTAAAATTTACCATATGCACGACCATTATAGTTACATCAATATAAGCGATGCGTCGATCACAAGAGCAGTAAAATATTGTGTTAAATAAATTTTCATTTAGTTTCTCATACAATGCGCTTATTGGTTTGAATAATAAAAAGATTTTTCAAATGGAAATTAATATAGAGTTAAAGAGATGTTGACACGGCTTATATTATTATGCGCGCAATGTTACGCATGAGAATCGTTCATAAATGTTTGAAAGAAGAGTAAATAGCTTACAATGAATTTACTGTAATTCTATTAATTAGTTTATGAAATTTTAAATAATCATGAGAACTCGCTGGTAATATTGTGAATATTATTTCAGAATATCAAAATAATTCGTTTCCGTTGGACGATTCTTTCTTCTAAAATCTAAAAGATTTAAAATTTCCGAGTAATTGACATATTCCGTCATAGATAAATTATTATAAATTATTTTCTTTTATCAATAATAGAAATGCTGTGTCATTTACATTATAATTTTATTTTTTTTATTTTATTTTATTTTTGCTTTTTTTTTCATCACATGACATATGCTGTTACAATATCATAGAAATATAAAATAGCATTTATTTATTTATAATGAAGTTGTTAAGCTACGCAGCTTAAATTACACTAGATAAATTTATAAATCTATTTTTATTTATAAAAAGTTAACGAATAGAGAATTAAAATTTTTGTAATACCTTGAACCATTATTTATACATATGCAATCCGCCTGTTTTGTACATCCTTTTATATTTCATAATAATTACCTCTTCAAATATATAAATCAAATTAAAACATATTGGCAATACAATTAACAGTATATTTCAATATGACTATCACAATTATTACAAAATTTACGTTTACACAATATTATTTGTAATACAGTAATATATGCACAAATCTATTATTCGATAATTTATCGAATAACTGTATTTATTCTGAAATAATAATCACTATTGTCCAAGTTCACTATGAGTGTTAGAAAAATTACAAAAGACATAAAAAATACTCTGTTATTTTAATCAAGAATAATTCAAAGAAGACAGGCATTTTTACTTATATATATATATATATATATATATATATATTGTGAAAAATAATACTAATTGCACGATATAACATAATAATCTTAATTGAAATATTCCTTTTTTTTCTCAATGCTTTTGTTGTCCTGTTCTATTTATAAGAATTTCTAGATTAGCATAATCAAGATTTCTTACCATTCCACAGAAAAATAAAAAATTTAAAATTCTTTTAAAAATTTCGTATCAAAGTATAATTATCTTTTATTACGCATCACTTTGAATTGTAGGAGAAGATAATATAAAGAAATTAGCAAATGTATTCAAGCATGTTCAAGTAAAGTATGCATTTCATTCGCGGATATAAATGAATTTTCGATAAAAATAATTAACAATACTTGAAAATTTGTAAATAGAAAAGCTTGGTATAAAATCTTCAGGATTATCGTGAACGGAAATATAATCTTATATAACAATAAAATCTTACCGCAATAATGGATAAAAGCGTCGATCGATGTCGATCTAAATAGTAGATTTTGTCGTATTGCTCAAACAAACATAGAGAATAGTCTATCGTGTCAATACGATGATAAACCTTCAAGTTCAAATCTCTGTATGATAATTGATTATACGAGAGCATTTAAAATTTATCCGGAATTTGACAAAAAATTGCCTTTCTTTATTTGTCTACTCGATAAATTACTTCAAACCAAACTACAAGTATTTATAATATTAGGAGACATATTTTCTTTCAGTTTTTTAATTTAATGAAAATTACATGCGCAATATAAATTTCAATGAGTTTAATTAAACATCATTACATTATATTTATCAGAATAATCTTATTATAATTCTTGAAACATAATACGCGATATACATTGCAACAAAATTAAGTTTTGTTAAACAGCTAATTATAAGCTTATACACGTATAGCCAAGATATAGTTAAATTAATAACATTTATTTAAAATATTTATGACTTAAAATACAACTATACAATTAACTAACATTTACGTTTATATTATCAAAGATTTAGGCAATATTTTGGCAAAGTGTTTCCTTAATGAAATCAAAATAAAAAATAAAACAATTAGCCAAAGTAATTAATCACATTAAATATAGTAATCCTCTTATCTTCATTTTTAATTGGATTACTAATAAAATTAACTCAATGTGTCAAATAAAAAACCGCATTAATAAAAATACGTATAACATTACTTGTGGATGAATACAACGTTTGTAGGTGCATAGATAAATACAATGTATGTTCTAAACTATTATGAACGTCAATTTATATTTAATATTGAGTCATAAACATATCTGATTGTTATAGCAAAATAGTGAGTGCATTTAAATAATGGAATAAACATGTTCCAATAACATAGAGACACTTAATTTTAACGAGGCAAACATATTTTATTAGAAATATATAGATTAATGTTATGTATGTTGAGCCTTTCTACCATTATTCTTGGTATATAAATAAATATCATTTTAAACAAATATATTTTAAATATTAATAGAATTTCTTTTTCAATTTTCAGTTAACAGAATTAAAAATGTATTTAAACGTACAATAATTTTATTAAATTTTATGTATTATAATCATCTTGTATAATACCTAAAGATAATATTTATCTGCCTTATAGTTTATATTATTTTTATTAAATATTTAATTTTCGAAACACAAAGTATTCACATATATTAGCACTATGTAGAAAAACATTGAACCTCATAAATAACCAAAATGAATTTCATAATGGAAATTGCGTCATGGATAAGAATAATATATTCAGACTTACAATCATCTACCATAGCATATAAATTTGAAATGAATACATATCTTTCGAAATATTCTTGATATTAATATTCTTAAGAAATGGTTTGAAAGATTTTTTTTTACTCAATATTTTTTCAATAAAGATATATTATCAAAACTACAAATAACGTCGATTGAACTAATTATATGCTCACACTAATAACATGTGCATAAAATCTGTCAATCATTTAAATAAATAAACATTGCTTATTGTTCTTGATTTATATCAGGATGTTCTTTTAATCGCCAACTTTGAACTTGACAGTAATATTATTTATAAATTTCTTTTTATGAATAAATTGAAAATTTAATAATTCTATTGGAATCTTTATAATTAATTATATGACAATATCACATTTCTATTTGGTTAAATAAAAAAAAACTGTTTCATGGACTTATAAGATAAAAATTCAAAATTAAGACCAATGACTTTGATCATTGAAACACGGCCATTATTAATTGATTATAAAATAATTATAATTGTTTATATTGCAAATAATTCAATATTAACGCATATTTACAAACTTAACTAGCAAAATTAAAAAATGTAACTTATGATATAAGAACCAATAGATCTAAACAAAAATGATGAAAAAAAAAAGACTTTATTGCACATTATCACTTTCAAGGAAAATATTGTACCGTTTTTATGGAAAGATCGAATACCAACTACAATAAAATGAAATCAAGTTATAAAAAATAAACTGTAGCTTCATTAATGGATAATCGTTTTATTACAATAGATTAAAAAAAAAAATGTTTTAGTTATATCGTATTGAAAATACTGAAATAGTTGTGATTATATGTTTAAAACAATTTTTCATATATCATTATATTAATTAAAATATAAGTATCTAATATTCAATACATTTTTATTTAAATTAAAAATTCTATTTAAATTTCAGAAATTGATTAATATATTGAATTAGCTTATTAATATCGTAATTATCTGCAATGCCAATTATGTCTTTTTATTTATAAAGTATTTGTTAAAAATTAAACATTTTTCTCTTAAATTCGCAATAAAAAAATTTAATTTTCTAATATTCACAATACGTAAAAAAATGAAATATTAACAATTGTGGAGTGAAAATTATTTCTTTTCAAATGGCTCAGCTATTGTAGCGGAACGAAACATTTAATCATTATTATAGAATAATATTTTAATATTCATGTTCTACTATTATATTAAAAAGATAGTGTTCATCAGACCAGTCACTTTAGAAATTAGAGATTAAAAGTGATAATATATAATATTAATTAATAACTTAAATAGTTAATATGAATTAATTTATTCATCGGCAAACTCTACTAATTAAAATATACTAAACTAAGTAATCTAATATTAAAAAATACTAAAGCAATGAAAATTATAAAATAAATATATGTTATATAGCGATTAATTTGTATGTTTACATTAAGTAATGTTTTTCATTCGTATAATAAACAATATATTCTAAATTTATTAAAAATTTATTACCGTTTTTTGGATTTAACTATAAATTTGTAATTTATATTTCTAAATTAATTATACTAACAATGAATGCAACGTATTCGGGTCAATTACTATGAAATTTAAAGTATCATCATAATGAACAAAGTAAACTTATTTAGATAAAGATACTTAGTAATAAGTATACATAAATTTAAATACAAATCATAGTTTCCGTTTTAATTATATGAAATTGTTATTTATCATAAATAGGAAATAAATATGAAATTAGGACAGCACATAATAATGTAAATATGAAATAATGGGAATAGTATTATTACATTTTTAACTACGAATTCATATTATAACTTAAAAAGTATAAGAAATAGAAGTTTGTAGAACTTAGTGATACAATCATCTGTCATAATATATTATTCATTTATTATTCATTCAATTATCATTATCATTATTATTATTAATAAAAAAAAAAAAAACCTATGCTTTGATTATGAAGATCAATAAATAAATATAAATATTGTATTCTTAGATTTTATAAGTGTAGATTTCTATTTTCCTTTAAAATTTGTGATTCATTCAAAATCAAAGGGTACTTTCACGTGTATGAAAACTGTGAAAACAAAAAATTGTGCAAAAGAACTATCTTGAGCCGTGCAATTCATAATTATTTATTTTAAGATTCTATACTATTTTTCTTCTAGATGACTTTAAATTAAATTAATGTTTGTAATTATAAAACGTAATATAAAAAAATTGATATAGTGCGATTTTGAATTAATTGGAGTCGTTTTAGCAGATAACTGGAATATATATATTTTTAAACAATGCATTAGCTTTAATTTAATTTGCAGCAGTAATTACTGTAATGAAGCTACTCCCATTTTTATAAATCTTCCTCTATGTATGAAACATTTAACAATCAGGATATATTTTAATTTAATTAATAAATAATTTAAAATAAAATTCAAGGATGGGCTTATGTATATATGTATATTTATTATTTGTAATTCTTTTACGAAAGGCAAAATTTAAAACAATATATTCAAAGTTGCTAATCTTTATGAAATGGTAGGCTTTTATTCAATAATTAAATCTAAAAGTTCTAAATTAAAGTTTCTATTATAATTTAAAAGTTCTAAATAATTAAGTCTAAAATTCTAAAACGTAGTATGAAAATATTTCGTTGCATCAATTGATTATTTAAAAAAAATTACAATTTACATGTTTCTTTTTTATATTATTATGTCATAAAATAGGAACTGTTGATTTTTCATTATATATAATGCTTATTTTAATTTATGTACTTGAATGGATATCAAAGTTTTGTATTCTTAACCTCAAAAATTTCAAGTTACATAATTCAAGTTAAATATAACAATATTCATGACTCAGTGTTTCGGTAACATGTTCCTCGTATTACAATTCTCATTATCAAAAAATTGTTAATTATAATTTCATTCTTACAATGTCAAAAGCTGCAGAATTAATCAAATGCATTTTTGATAAAACACGTTTATCCAAAAGCTTTGGTCAGGTTTTGAAAAATGTAAGTTATTGGAAATCTATTTAAATTATTAAATTTTCCATCATTGTTAATATATATTTAAATCCAAGCTTTAGCTTTTAATTAGTTAGTTTCGATATATAGTAACATTTTTAATATATGCTCTCCTTAAATTAATGCATAGGAATTTTAAATAAATTGTATTTTTAATAATTTTGTATAACAGTATTTATAATGTAGATGAGCAATTGCTTAGCATTTTACTTTATGTTTACCGAGCCGAGCAGTTCCACAAAGGAATAGTTTCTTTGCGTACATGATTGTACGTAATACATTGTGTTCACGTGTAAAGAATAAATTATTAAATACAACTTTTTAGGCCAAAATAGTGTCTGTCGAAGATGGAAAGGTGAAAGCTGAATTAAAAATTTGTGAAGACCATTTAAATTTGGGAGGATCTCTACATGGAGGCTATATTAGTACTCTTGTTGACTGCTTTTCAACCTATGCTTTAATGGCTTACAAAAATTCACCTCCCGGTGTATCGGTAGACTTACATGTTACGTAAGTATTATTATCGGTTAATGAATAAAATAGATTATTCTATTATATTTGAAAGTATTTAATTAATTATGTTTAAATAATTATTCATTATAATTCAGATTTCTGAAACCAGCATTTTGTGGCGATGTAGTAATAATCGATGCAAAAACTGTTAAGGTTGGTCGAAGATTAGCATTTCTTAAAGTTAAAATCCTAAAAGCGGATGATGGAGCAATTGTCGCACGTGGTATTCAAACGAAATTTATTGGTGGAGACTAAAAATATATGGTCTATACGTAAATTGTAATTACACACATATAGAAAAATGTTTGCTCTTCACCAAACACATATATATATTTGTATATAATGGGTATAAATATACGTACATTCATTCATTATTTTATTATGTAATAAATGTATCTTTATTCATAGAGAATCATTATAATACAAAACTTATATTATAGCCAGGAAACATATAACTGTTTAAATTAGATTTTAATATAGATATGAAAAATTGTACAATTAAATATGCGATAATCATAGCTTAATTCATTATCAAAAATAATATGCATTTCTAATGTTATAAATTAGTTTTATGATTTTTACATTTTTTATGCTTCATTTAAACAATAATGGTTTAGGTTTAATTATATTTAGATTGCTTTTGATTAAGAAGTTTAGATTAAGTTGTTTACAATAAAGTGACGTATAGTAAATAACATTCACAAGTGAAGTGAGAAACAATAAAGTGTAATTTTAATTGTAAGGAGAATTTTTCAGATCGTGAAGCATCAATTTTATTTCTGCAATTTGATCGCTCAAATCACTCAACACTTCATTAACTCTACTATATTCTTGATTAGCGTCGCTTAATAATTCTTCAAAATATTGGATTGTTTCACTGCGCCTACCTTGATTTTTTCCCCCCATCTTGTATTGATTCATGGAAGCCAAATATTTTGAAGCACTTCTCCGTGACCTTGAGATAGTATTATTTTGATTATGTTGTTCAATACATTCTTCGCAGCATGTTGACCATGATTGTAGATCAATCGATGGAATCTCTTCGCAGGAAACAAAGTCATTGTCAATTTCTGGTAGCAGGAAAACATTTTTTTGAACTCTTGTAATATTATCACCATTATCACAAAGAATTCTTGCCAAACTTGTCTTTTCAATTTGTTCAAGCTGCTCCGATTGAAAGGTGGAAGGATTTTCGTACCAAAATCTGTCGCTATCTCGCATTCTTTTGAATTGTTCAGCAAGCAGACACTTAAAAAGTGGTCCAACTTTAGCATTGGGAAGTTGATCTTCGAGTATCCCACCAACCCATGCATCAATATTTCCTGGATGACCGTATAATTCTCTAAGTTTTTGTCTAACTCCGGGACTACTAATTTCATTAGCGAGATCATCAAAAGTTTCAATTTCCGACATATTGCAATATCTTCTCCAATCAATGTATGGAGGGATAGCGTGATCTCTTCCTCTTTGAATATTCATAGCAGCCAAATCGAGAGCCACTGCGTGTGCGACGTGGAATAACTGTTCGGTAAGCTCGAGATTTAAATTTTGTTCGGGTTTTTTCAGTTTTGCCGGTGTAACAAACATTCCCCTCAATAGTGGATCAACTCCACCCTCTTCCACCAATCGCCAAGGTACAAAGAATGCATCTCTTAAGTATAATGGGCCTTGTGGTATCGATTGAAGATTTTCATCCAATCGTTCCAATTTTGGCTGAATTAACGAATGGCCAAAGCGCAAAGCAGCGGTTGCAAAAATGTTTGAAATACTGCCGTCCAGATTTTTGTCATAGCCTTGGTAAGTACCGAACAATTCATCGGTATTGCCTCCAAGTATTAGAGGTATCCAGTCACGATAAGTAATTACTTGCATCTACAAATACATTAGATATAAAGATATATGTCAATTTTATATTTAATATATTAAATTTTACATTTATTATTTTATCGTCTCATGGTAATTTTAATAAATTTCATAATAAAATTAATTAACGTGTATATATGTGTAATTTTAGTAAATGCGTTTATATGCAAATATATTGCACTTATAAATATAATTATAAATTACTATGTATGTGTATTATAATTTCATAGATTTTCACGAATATTTAATAAGCCTTGTGAATTATATCATTTACTTTTGGTTACTTATATGTTTAATTATATTATCTTTTTACTCTATTACTTCAAAACACTGATAAAAATCAATAGTTCATGACATATACATATGGTTATTAAATTTAGAATTTCAAATTGAAAGTAAAATTTTCATGATTATTTAATTCATTTAACTCATTGTGAGTATAATCAATTTTAATAAATTAAATGATAAATGAATTACTTATGATTAAGCAACTTTTAAAAACCTTTCACTATGTTCAATTCACTATGGTCAATTTTTTTATAGTTGAAGAAATAATGACAATTAAATTAAAAGTATAAATAATGCGAGAATTTATCGAGTAACCGCTTAAACCTTAGTTAGTAAGTAACTTGGTTAGTGATTTTTTGTTCTTTTTACATTATATAATAATACTACATAATAAGCTGTATAATAAAATTGTTCTTACCATTTATGTGAATGTCATTTTTTTTAACATAAAGCTTTAAGTTGTAAATTAACAAATTTAAAAACTTTTACTTTGGTTATGAATCTTAATTGGCTGTTAGCTTTATCACATGCTTTCAATGAGTAGTTGAATGTTTGAAAAATCATCTAAAATATTATGCTCTATTTCACTGGTAAGCCTAAAATCATTATCGAAGACGATTTTTTCTTAAATAAAAAGGATGTTTATTTAAGTTGTAGAGATATTTCATGAGCATTCACTGATCGTGACACTTAATTAGTGAAACGAGCTCTATTAGTCGGAGTAAGTTCAAAATATCTGAGAATGTACAGTGAGGAGGGGAAAAAAGAAGGAAAAAAGCAAAAGAAAAAGCAAAATACGAAGTGCATCGACGATTTTTATAGAATTTGTGTCCTACACACGTAATCCGATTAAGCGTTATCCGCTCAAATGGAAACAAATTATTTCCAACAGAGATGCAATCGAGTAATTCCCTAACTTTTATACCTCTGCACCCACGATCTTGCGCGCCTCCTGATACACTTTTTCCCCACTCCAGTGTGGATTTATGAGGCGTAGCCGCTTGGCAATACGGTTGTGTTCCCTCATCCAGATGGTGTGCATGGCCGTGAGGCCGATCTGCTCGTTGACCCGAAAGTCGCCCGCGAGGAAGCAGTTGATGGCGCTCTCGGTAAAGTTGCGTCGACAGTCGATGAAATGGTCGTTGGCGTAGGGCAGGAGGGCTTTGCGCCCCGGGAATACCGGGCCCTCCTTGAGCAGTCCCTGGTCGTCGTTGAAGTCGCGGAGCTCACGGGCGCTCTTGTCGTCGTAGCCGTAGACTTGCGAGGCGTCCAGGTAGCTCGTAAGCTGATTTATTTGCTCCCGGGGTGTCAGTTTGCCGAGGAGGATGCTCGTCATTCCCGAGCCTGTCGAGACGAATCTTAGCATTACGTGGCTCGCCCTGACGCAAAAATCTAGCGCTTTGTCACATGACACATTCGACGCATTCCAACAACAAGCTGAGCGGATCTCATTTTGAAGTATGTAATATTGTAATATTGCAAACTCGGTCGGTTACAAAAGTACTTAGCTATGGATATTCTGTTTTTTTTTTTTTTTTTTTTTTTTTTTTATTAAGCACCAACGAAATATTGAATTTTACTAAGAACGCTGCAAATTTTTAACTCTTCGATGCATAAAATCATTAACAAGTGCGCGTATTACGGTTTATTGAGACTGTTCGTTGAAAAGTACACGCCTTAATTAATATTAACTAAGGATTAAAGCGAACTTGTTCGGTTAAATTTGCTAATGAATATGAACGACTAAGAAATAGAATAACTTGTATAAATTTCAATTAATATTAAGTGCCGAAAGAAAATTACCTTAAAACAATTTTCGGCTATATAGGTAACATAGGTAAATAAGTTAATTATTACAAATTGATAATTTTTCTTAATTTAAGAAATTTCTTTACAAGATTTTTTTAATAAGCGAGGGAAATTGTAATGCACGATTTTTAAGCATTCAAAGTACTTGAAAAATTTAACAGAATTTAAAAGCTTAATGATGCATTTTAATTTAATTATCTACAAAAGATAATTTCCCCCCCCCCACCATATTTTGTGATATTTGCAACACTTAATTGAATGAGAAAAAAAAGTAATTAAAACTGTGTACCTGTAAAGGTTTTCAGATTTTTTTCACTTACTTGGAATATTTTACTTAAAAAATTTCAAATTCATTCCTATATGAATATATAATTTTATAGCTCCGTCATTTTGTACGAATAATTTATTAAATTTAAGATGATTCATTTGAATGTCCATTGCTACTGGAATAATTTTTAATTTTCAATTTAAGTTTTGATCAACCGGAGATGCCAATTAAAGTTTGAACTTTGATAACTAAATATTTAGATTGAAATCTATTATAAAGAGAGAGAGAGAGAGAGAGAGAGAGAGAGAGAGAGTAAATAATGATAATAGCTACGTGTAATGTAGAATCAATAAATTATTCTGTTACATCGAAAGCTCCTACATAGTTAAAATCTACCATTTAAAGAAGTAGAATACTCTTCAATAAAAGTTTATTTATTTTATAGAAGATCGATTAATCTATGGATAAATTGTCTTATCGGATAAATCAATAAAAGTTTTATCTACAATAGTTGTATTGAAATGCAGTAATATTATAAAGATGTTTATCAAAAAGGATCTTGAGTTTTCATGATTTAGAAAGTAGTCCGTGTCAATCATCATATTAAATTTGTAAATGATCGTGCAATAATCAGTATTACAATGAAGATGAATCAACGCTCGTTTAATCCACCTAAGTAATGTATACTCCATTACAAGCAAATAATCCAATGATTTGGCAAGCATTGTGTTTCATTACTCGAGAATGTGAGATTTCAATTATAAAATTAGTTATCTTAATAATAGAAATTGCTTTGTTATTTTTATTCACGTGTAAAATTTTCGAACGTGGCGCGAGAAATGACAGTGATATTGGCAAAAATTTAAATAGTCGAGCAATCTATTAATGGTACACTTGAATAATTAAGTTTAATTTAATAATGATGATAATGTAAGGAGCGAGAGTATATAGTAAATGAAATTAAAGGTTTGTTTTTGGAAAATGTGAAACGATTGTATAAACTTTATTCGTTCGATCGTATGCTTCCATTAGCGAATGAATTGCAATGGAAATCATTACAACATTGCTTTTGCAATTTACTAATTCACAATCGTCCAAAGTATTTAAGAACGTGTATTCATGCGCAGACACTCTCCTCCCAATCTTGATGTTACTCAATAATTTTTAATCTCACCACAATGGAAAATTGTTGATAGTCTTGTATATAAGTGAATTGGAAAAGAGATTGAAATAACGCAGAAGAATATTTACGTACGAAAATCCTCTCATCCGAGTATCGAGCGCTCTATCTGTTGAATTAAATTCATTTTATATCGAGTTGAGTATTCTTTTGCAAGTATTGGTTCTTATCGTATAAGCTTTCATCCCCTCTCAATTAAAACATATGTTTGGCATAATCTTGAAAAAAAAAAGAAAACAAAAATTATTTATTTAACACGATGATTGCTCTGAAAAGTACTCCGTTGGATGATAGTTGGCAGTAGCCGAGTTTCAATTAGAAATTTGATATTTAGCTACGACTAAACCCGAATTAAGCTCCCTTCAATGCTTATAAATAAATCTTTGGTTAACTGTAGTGCCAATAAAAACACTTGCCCCCGAACAATTGTACAATTCAGCATTCACGTACACACCCGAATGGTGCATTTAACAAAATTGTCATCTACGTTATTACACATTTTGTTCGTATTGAAGTACTTGCAATCACTATCGATCAATAACGACGTAAAGCAAACAGAAAATAGCCTGTGTTTCGTACGAGGAGCCTACGTATCTTTACGATCTCGATATCAAATAATCCGATAAATACGACAGGGAGGGGAATTAGACGTAAGAAGAGGGGCGGGGACTCACCGCATACGGCACTAGTGCGAAGGAAGTCGATACACCGTCGGTTCTTGATCCGCGGGTCATTCGGTGGCACCTCCATCGGGAAGCACGGGGCACGATTATCGCAGGACTTTTTGCAGTTGATGCCGCCCCAGGACTCGCTGGATACAGCGGGCAGGGCGTGGTCGAAGTCGTGATCGATCCACTGGCCCCACTGCATGACCATGTGAGTGATACTGCTGTCGGGACTGACGTCCTCCGTGCCGATGATGCTCGTGGATATGAGTCTGGCCGCGGGTTTGGGGTACCCGTAGTAACGGCGAGTCTTGTCCCAGCCGATGGGTTGCGAGAAGCCATTTTCGTACATCGGCTTCAGTATGCGTCGGAAGCTCGTGTAAGACGAGCCCCAGATCGGGTTTGCCAGGTTGTTGCATTTGCCAGAGAGAGTGCGGTATCGGCTATGGAAACACGTATTGAGGCACTGAGTGTTGCGCTGATGCGACGTGCAGCCAGCGAGTTGCTCCAGATTTGCGACCTGTTACGAGAAGATTTCGTTACGAGTGCTCGTTCGCGCACTGGTTTTGTTGTTTATCTGGAGAGAGAGAGAGAGAGAGAGAGAGAGAGAGAGAGAGA